AGTGAGTATGAACGTGAGCGAGTACTTTGAGTGTGAGTATGTATGAGTGAGTTTGAACGTGAGTGAGTACTCATGAGTGTGAGTAGATGTGAATTTGAACGTGAGTGAGTACTCATCAGTGTGAGTATCCGTGAGTATGAAGGTGAGTGAGTATTCACCAGTGTGAGTAGGAATGAGTGAGAGCTTGTGAGTGTGAGTAGGAGTATGAACGTGAGTGAGTACTCACGAGTGTGAGTAGAAGTGCATTTAAACATGAGTGAGTACTGATGAGTGTGAGTATTCGTTAGTATGAACGTGAGTGAGTATTTATGAGTGTGATTAGGAGTGAGTGAGAGCTCATGAATGTGAGTAGGAGTAAGTACAAACGTGGGTGAGTACTCACGAGTGTGAGTAGACTTGACTGCGAAGGTGAGTGAATTGCTGTGAGTGTGAGTAGCAACGAGTAGGAACATGAGTTAGTTACTATGAATGTGATGAATATTCATAACCATCGCAACGGCGTCCTCAATACGTTGGAAATAACGGGCACTATGGCATGCAAGCTTCCTGTACGTAAAAGCCTTCAGCTAGTTTGGAAACTGGGGGAGCCGTCCTACATCAGATGGGGGGGGGGGGGGGGGGGCGAGGTGACTGCGCAACAAATGGAGTTGAGGGTAGACGTCTATTTTATTGTAATTTGAATTTTCTAGGCTGAATAACTTTGAACTGCCTGTCCCTATATATACCGTTCATCCTGCACTTACCTCTTGCGCCTTCAGTCTACGCAACACGCTGATAATACATATAAAACAACAAGGTCTTGAGAAGCCCTTTAACAAAAATCCCCGCGCGAGCCGGTTCAGAAAAAAGAAATGCACTGCGCAAACGACAAAAAAAAAACGCTGAAATGGCCCGCGAGAGAAAGCACATTGTGTGCCCGACGCACATTGTGTGCAGCGATTTTCCAGTTTCTATCTCTGCGTTGTCCCTCAAGTGAAGGTTGCCTTGAACGAAAACCTTAAGTGATCTCATGACCTCTCAAGTGCGAATCTGTGTACAAACTTCGCCTTCTCAGTGCCCCATCAAGAAAAAAAAAGGAAAGCTTGGAGGACGATTGAGCTTCGCCGTCAATGGTATAGTATGCAATAGCGTAATCGGACCTTGTTCGCATCGCAGTTTCAATCTATACCCTCGCTTCACTTTTCGGCGGCTTATTATGCCTTCAGCAGTGCAGACACAATGTGCAATAAGCGCCCAATCACCCTTGATAATTTATTCTATCATTCACATAATGCGGGCTAGTACAAAAACACACATAATGCAACTCGTTAATTACCGTTTCATTAGGCTGTCCGCGATAACCCTGCGTACGCACACTGCCAATAAACGTTAACCGCGTCCGCAGATCCATAAATAAGGCCCCCTGCAATCGTCAGTGCCGGCACGGAACAAACGAAGTCTCCATGTGAGCGCGATCCACAGAGGAAGGAAAACATCTCTGAAGATGTGCACAATTTCTCGAATGCAAAACTGCCGTACGCAACGCATTCCATCTGAAGGCGAGGCAGAGAGGGGAGGCGCCGTCTCGACGGTCGTGCCGGACCACAGAACACCTACCAGTGGCCGGGCGGCCGTGGTGGCCGAGGCCCGGCGCCCGCCTGTCCCGCTAGTGCAGTCAGAAGGGGCTATGGGCAGTGGAACGAACGAAGCGGCCGAGCCGGATGGCATGGCAACGTCTTGGGTTCTGGCGGGTAATCATAGCGGCGGCCGTGTAGTATACTGAAACTGTCGAGAGCGTCTCTATTTCGCGCGCCTACGAAAGCGTGTTTTGAGTGCTTGTAACATATTACTGAGATTCTAAACGATGTCTCAGCGTCTCCTACGCGTCATGGCACACAAATGAATGTACAGGTGCGTCGTAATTGCGCTGAGTCATTGCCTGTTTGTGGAGCCTACCGACCCTTAAAGAAAGCGACAATTGTTCAGCTCGATCGTTTCTTTAGTAACCTGAGTACACGTAACGCTACCTCAATGTTAATATTCATCATCGGCCTGACAATGTTCACTGCAGGACAAAGGCCTCTCCCATGATCCACCACTCAACTCGGTCCTGTGCTTGCTGCTGCCATTATGTACCGGCGAACTTCCTAATCTCATCTGCCCACCTAACTTACTGTTTCCACCTAACCCGTTTGCTTTCTCTGGAAATCCGGTCAGTTATGCTTAATGACCAGCTGTTATCTTGCCTACGCGCTACATGCGCGGCCCATGTCCATTTCTTCTTCTTGATCTCAACTGTGATACCCTTAACCCCGGTTCGTTCCCTGATCCACTCGGCTATCTTCTTGACTCTTAAGGTTACAACTACTATTTTCCTTTTCATCGCTCTCTGCGTCGTCCTCAATTTAAGCTGAACCCTTTTTGTAAGCCTCCAGGTTTCTGCTCAGTAGTTAAGTACCGGCAAGATACAGCTGTTATATACCTTCGTCTTAAGGAGATAGTGACAATCTACCTGTCATGAGCTGAGAATGCTTGCCGAATCTTCTCCACCCCACTCTTATTCTTCTTCAGTCTCGTGGCTCGGCTCCGCAGGTACTACCTGTCCTAAGTAGACGTATATACCTTTTCCAACTTCAAGTGCACTGCCACCTATCTCGAAGCACTGTTTTCTTTTGAGGTTGTTGTTCATTACTCTCGTTTTCTGCCGGTTATTTTATAGATTCCAAGAGAAGGAAAGCGGGAAAAGGGGAGACAAAGTTTGGTGGGCAGATGAGATTGGGAAGTTAGCGGGTATGAAGTGGCAACAGCAAGCAAAGGACCGAGTTGACTGGCGGAACAGGGGAGAGGCCTTTGTCCTGTTGTGATGATGATGATTATGTGAATGTAAAAGTACGCGAGTGAGTGCGCCTGAGTATGGGTGGGCTTAAGTATGAAGGTGAATTCTTATGTTAGTGCAGAGATGAGTGAGGGCCTATGATCTTGAGCAGGCGTGAGTATGAAGGTGAGTGAGTAACTATGAGTCTTAATCGAGGTGCATGAGAAATTGAGGTACAAAAAGGAGACACCTGGACAGGGTGCTCTGTCTCGAGGTGTCTTCCTTTTGCACTTCAATTTTTCACGCACCTCAGTTAAGATGAATTACCAACTCTCCCAGCAGTCCGTGTTTCTCTAAGAGTGTGAGTAGTCGTGAGTATGAACGGGAGTGAGTACTCTTGAGTATAAGTGAGTATGAACGTGAGTGAGTACTCATGAGTATGAGTAAGAGTGAGTATGAACGTGAATGAGTACTTTCAGTGTGAGTAGAAGTGAGTTTGAACGTGAGTGAGTGCTCATAAGTGTGAGTAGGAGTGAGTATGAACGTGAGTGAGTACTTTGAGTCTGAGAAGGAGTGAGTATGAACGTGAGTAGGAGTGAGTGTGAGCAGGCGTGAGTATGAACGTGAGTGAGGGCCTGTGAGTGGGAGTAGACGTGAGTATGAACATGAGGGTGAAGGCTGAAAAAATTGTGGTGAGCGAGTAGTTTCTCAAAGTGCCGACCTATGCCGGTAGAAGTATTTTCTATGGCTGCTCAGGATTTTCAGAGTGTTGTGAAAAGACTTGAATTTCAAACCTTTTTTTTTTTTTTTGTTATTCACTGTACTCAGTTTTTGAAGGATGCAAATATGTATGATTTCCCAATTTGAATATACCTTATTTCATAGCTGAGTGATGTAAGCATATGTCAGCTGAATTAATATAAAAATATGCTCTTTGCACCAATGATGCCCCTTTCTTTTGGTACTTGGGAGCATGCTCCTGTGGTCTCATTGGCTCTATTTTCACATAGTACTACACATTTTAGTTGTAATGGTACAACTAGCTATCTTCGGGATAATCTACATTTAGATGTCTAGGCCGCCTTGGATGCACTTTATGCTTGGCCGAGTTTGAATGTTTGCAAGTTGCCATCACCAACATCTAATTTGGGCTGGCGATCAGTATAAAGGCCTGGGGCCACAAACCATGTTTTTGATGTTGAAAGTTCTACAGTGAGCCATCTGCTGCACAGGCTGATCATTCTTCTTATTCTTTTGGAGAAGTGAGGGTATGGAGCGAGGTTATATACATGGTTAAACTCCAGTCGGAGCAAGTATAGTACATGCTAACAGATCCCACCGTGGCAAGTGGCTGAACGGAAGCAACACATGCGAGTAGTTGCCTTGGTAACTGGAACAGAGGCAATATTGTTGTCTACTGCCAGATGCCGCTCTCGTTATAAGATTTACATTGTCACTGCAAATAGCCACGTTTTTATTCCTATTGCTCCATGTTCGAAGGATACATACCCATGAAAATAAGTGGGCACCCATGGAAATCCCCCTAGCCCAAGTTATCCCACGCAGATTCCAGAGTAGCCATCTAGTTTGAAGCAATGCTTCCTTTATTTCTTTCAATGCCAGTGCAAACTCCCGCTAATCAACGGGAGCAGTTGGTCAGCCTTAGTTCAGGGAATGGTCATGATGCGACGCTGCATGAGGGGTCACGCTGGTTGCGCCAGATGTGCTTCCGAGCCCTTTCCACTGGAGATGCAATAGGCGTGTTTCCCACTACAATTTTTTTTTGTTCCTTCGTGCTCCTCCTTTCGTAGCTCGTGAGGCACTGCATGAGGGGGCTCTTTTCTCCATGACGGCAAAGCACACGCAAAGGCTAGGCGATGTGCTAGTGCAGGGATGGGCTAAAGAAAAGGGTGGTAAACAGCTGGATCGGGCGCATCTGGCTGGCACTGATAAAATAGAGGAGGTGTTGGTTGAAGGGAAGGACTCATCCAGTGGAACAGTGCTCTCAAGTTTTGGCACGTTATTAAAATTGTCATTAAAGAGCATTAGTAGCATGGGCCTGCAAATTCGTACCTCGTCAGTAGCTTTTTTAACAAAGCTGAGAAGCTTAGCATTGTTGATACAGCTGTGGTCTGTCTGTCTGAAATGTTTAGTCCAAAGCAAATGCTGAAAGTTACACTGTATGAACGAGTTAGGGAAACAAAGGTAATGTCATATTTTTATTAAAACAATGCAAAAATAGTTAAATATCAACATTGCATTTATGATGTAGCAAAGTGTTGCACTGCATAAGTACAGCAGTGCCAGCTTTCATGAACATTCATCAGGCATAATGTATAATAGGAAAACATTGATCTGAAGAGCTATACAGGTCCATTGCAAAACAGCAATGGCAGTAAACAGATCGAGCAACAAGGGATAGTTTTCCACAAAAGCAAAAACCCTTTCTGCAAGGTACATCAAATAATTAAATTATATAGGTGGTGAAGACAGTCACACTATCACCACTTTAAACAAAAATATTGTGTGCGGTTTCTACCTCCTAATAACAATGCATTTCATGCGCAACTTGAAATAAATGCTGTGCCATATGTGCTTGCATACCATAGCTTGTCCTTGTTGCACACATTCAAGCATAAACACTATTATCCACATTGCAGCAGTCCAATCCTTAATGAACCCACGTTGTCACTGCTCACAGATTTGTGCATTTCAGCGATCGTAAGAACCTGGCCTGCAACTGTCAAGGAATGAAAGCAACCCCCTGAAGTGACAACTACAAAAAGTGTTCGTATGAACAGTTTTGGTGGCTAACGTCAGCACTGACTTTCAACAGCCACTATCAGCATCATTGACAATGCTGTTTTATTCTCTTAAGACCCTGCAAATGTTCCTTACATCATTAAACTTGGTGGATTCTAACTGAACACAAGTCTACCACCAAAAACAGCATTTTGGACCTCTGAAGCTATATTTCATAAGGATATCGCATTGTTACAAAGTTAATGTAAGTGTATATATGTATATAATGTGCTCATGTACACTGAATCAGTGGACAAGAAGCTGAACAAAGCTTTACAGTCATTTTCTTTTTCCATGCATGATCACAAAAAGGCAGAACAAGTTCATTGCTACAGGTTTCACAGGTAACAGTTATGCAGAAAAAAGTGATAAGGCCTCCGCATCACAAACAAGCAAGCAAGCTCCAACATGTTCAGGCGATAGTTAAACACTACCATTGTATACACTAAACTTCCAACACAGGGCAACAGTATACTATGTATGTGTGCGTGTGTGTGTGTATATATATATATATAAAGAAAGCAGCTGCTTCCCACCAGGAAATGGGACTGAGTTCCAGACACCATGGCACTTTGATTAGATTCCACAGCACTATATCAGCATTCAACAAAATTGAGACTACACAAATGTGAAAACAGAAAAAGTAACAGGCCTCTGCGTAAGTATGGCATATCAACACTCAACAGGTGACAAGTGGAGGTATTGTCATGGGAGAGTTCTTGGAACACTGATCAGATCGTAGGCTCTTTGAGCTATGGTACATGGGTTCATTGGCAGCAACTCCATGTGTTTATGTACAAGGCTATGAAAAGATGGTGCGTGACATGCAAATAACTAAAACAGTAAAACGGTTGAGTGAAAAAAAAAATGACATTAACTAGGTAGCAATGTCTGCTGATAAAAATCTGGATCATCTTCCTCATCAGACTGCAGGCTTACATCATCTCCATCCAGCTGAAAAAAAAAAATTTGCATCAGATAAAGTGGTGGGTCAAGCAAAGAGTTAAAATGAAGGTTTCTTGGCTTGTAACAAGTTTTAAATTCATAAGTGTAATAAAATGTGTTGAGTCAGTCAAATAATACTCTAGTGCATTTGTATATATGTGTCCTCTCACTTCACAGTTTTTTGCCTACTGTAAGGCTGCATTCGTTATCTGGATATGCCTCGGCTAAGTTGCACAAATTCACTACCATAAAAAAACTGTTGAAGCATGTGCTTAGAGCACATAACAATATGCAAAGGATAGCAGTGAAGAGTATTTCCTTTCCAAGTGACAACATTAACAAGTAGACGCCAATCGCACTAAGCAAGTGGTACAAAGAACCAGAAGCATCATTTGCTAGTGGTATCTCTTATGCGAGACACTATTTCAGGCGCGGTACCAATGTGTGCAAACACTGGAAAAATTTACCATGTTGACTGCATGCTGTTCAACTAATGTTTGTATTTCTGTCTCTACTCATTCACATTGCAAGATAGTTGAAAGTTTTTGGAAGCAACGGACAATAGACATAACTTTCCCCCATCCCATTGTTCTTATACTGTCAGTGTCGTTTGCATTAATCTCCTGAACCATTGACTGGTCGCACAAAATGAACTGACTTGCTTTATCACACAATTTCGTCCGATTTTTTATGCACATGACAGCTTGTAGGGCTTCAATTGACATGCATTTCACTTAGTTGTACATTAACAGGCAAGAAAAGCAAGTATCTTCAAAATACACCATTGTTATTTGTTTTGAATGACCACTGCTTTAACAATAAATGTTGGCAACTTTTGGGCAGAAATATCAGTGAGAACCAACAGACAATGATGCCAAGGCAAGTATGGGGGATGTGATTAGAAGTAGTTGTAATGTAAATGTGAAGAAAAAGAGTGGACGAAAAGATAACTTGCCGCTTGCAGGGACCAAACCTGCAACCTTCGAATAATGCATCCGTTGCTCAACCACTGAGCTACGGTGGCACTGATCCCTCCGTCCAGTTTATAGGGCATATATGTGCATCTGAACGTGGGAGTATCAGTCAGCGCTGCCAGTAACCATTACGGTGAGTGTGGAACACTCTTTCTTAACTGTTGGTGTCGCGCAGCACGTGATCTTATTAGGAGCTGGCAGCTAACCAATAATCCCTTAAATAATACCTGAGGGCATCAAGTCTGCCAAAATGAGATCCTTGCTGTGACTGAAGAGTAAATTTAAGAGCTCGTTTTGTTTGTTAGAAAATATCAATGAGAATGAATGGACAATGATGCCACGAAAGTATAAAGGATGTTGTTGGAAGTAATTGTAATGTAAATGTGAAGAAAAAATGTGGATGAAATATAACTACCTGGCGGCAGGCACCAAGTTACATTTCTGTCCACTTTTCTTTGTTCACATTTAGGTTACAATTACTTCTAATAACATTCCCTAATCTTTCCTTGGCATCACTCTTAGTTCTCATTGATAGTGTCTAACAAAGAAAATAATCCCTTATATTTACACTTACTTTGGGAGGAAATGATTGCATAAAAATTTTATCATTTGTCCAGTTTTAATACCACAGAAAATCAGTGTCAGTACAGTAGTGGAACACATCTTAAGCAATAGCCTGTGCCTCTGACTGAAACACTAAACACATACACCTACACTCAATTTTGATAATTTATATGACGTGAAGTTTCGACCAGATGAAATACAGCAACTGCCTTTTCTGCACACCAGGCATTGTTGGTTTCAATATCAAAATTGTGAATAGGTAATAAGCCAATTCACATGTGATTTTTTTTATTTATAAAAAATGAAGTTTGTCATATACATATTATGACAACCTACAACTCTTCTAAACCAACTGTTCTCAAATTAATAATTAAAAATTTAATTAACAAGCTTTCCTTGAAGGGGCCCTTCAACACTATTGAAGCACCCATTTTTTATTTGTGGTTTGCATAGACCGATAGTTGCAGAGAATTTTAGCATAGGTCTAAGTGCTGATATGAAATGATTTATTATTTCAATCACGCAATAATGCACTACATCGCTGCCAACCGCATCATCACGTATTGGCACTCGCCAGAACTTTGCGGGCGGAAATGACGCCGGAAGGTTGCCACCATATGATTGGATAAATGTAACGTTAGAAGAATTCGCAGTGTAGCATCAAAACCGAGGTTACTAATCTATTTCATTTTTCTTCTCTGTGCTTTTTCATCGAACCCTGAACAGACGCAGCCACAACAAAAAAGATTATTGTGGCTACAAAGCACGACAGAGACGCTGGCTGCCAGTTTTGGATTTTTGGCTTGTGCGAGTCGGATGCACATACGAAAGACCTCTCTTTCTTCCCTCTTATTGCTTTTGAGAGTTAGCGAGCTGTCTCTTTCTGCACGTGGGCTGTTGTTGAAGGGGTGCAGTGCACCATTGTTGTTCATCGGGCGGCTCACCGAACGCGCGAAGGGTCAACAGTACTTCCCTGTCCTGTTCATTCCACACGTTCCTTTTTTCGGAATAAGAAAAGGAAGCGACTTGTAATGTTGTAAAAAACAAGAAAAAAGCTCGCTTCGACACAGTAGCTTCCGCTCACGTTCTTGTATGTGGGGTTTAACGTCCCAAAACCACCATACGATTATGAGAGATGCTGTAGTGGAGGGCTCCGAAAATTTCGACTACGTGGGGTTTTTTAACGTACACCCGAATCTGAGCATACGGGCCTACAGCATTTTTGCCCACGTTTGTTACTGTGGCAACGAGGTGAACATTACTTTAAAAAGAAAAAAAAAAGCAAGCTTCCCCTACGTAGGCGCTTGCAGCTTATTTCATTGGGGCAGCCCTCTGACGTCACGGGCGAGTGAAATGAGGTCAAGTGACCCTATGAAAATTGAGCTAAGGGTCGGCCTTTTTTCGTTCTTGTATTTTGAATATTTTAAGTCGAATAACTTCAGACCGTGTGCCGTTATCATTGCTGCATTAGTCTGTCAGTACTTCAGTCTACAAAACCCACGAATAAAACGGAGAGGGTTGAATAGTGTTATACCGCCTCTTTAATTAGCCATCTGAATGTTAACTTTAGCAGCAGCAAGATTTTTTTGCCCTGAAGTAAAGTTTGTGTGAAACGAAGACAGGTGCCTTGCTGTTATAAAATCTCTATTGTCTAAAAAAAAAAGAACCCTCTAGGACAAAATATAACTCACACACTGCAATTCTTTTTCTGTGAAAAAGTACTTCAGCTGAATCCGCAGTGGAATCATAAGCAGCAGCACAAAAGGGAAAGCCAAGGCTAGTGAAGATGACTTGACCGCCCAAAGTACAATAAGGCAGACCACTTGCAGAAGAGTGTAGAGGTGCATCTTGGTAGCTTTCACCTGGCAATAAAAAAAGAACAATATAAATAACTGCACAGATAGTGATGGTAAAATTATGATATACCTTTTGAGCGTAAGGCACACTTGGGAAGTGTTTCGTTGGCTTGAAGAAAAGAATCATGCGCTCAAATAGTTGTATTCCAATCATAGAAGTGATCCCCATGTAAAGGAAAACTCCAAACAGCACAGCAACAGGAACTTCTCGCAACAAAGGGCTCATGAAGACTGACAACCCTGAGTGGAAAAGCAAGAGAGAATGTAAAAATGGCAACTTATTATGCCCTTCATAAACACTGCACGTACACAGAAAGTCATACTCACCCACATTAAAAACATTGATGAAACTACAATAACAGGATTTCATATCCCAAAGACGCTGTGTAAGCTGAGAGGGATGCCATCAATAAATTAACAGAATTTTGACTACCTGACATTATTTTATGTCCCCTAACATCATTTGCCAAATATCTGAAATCATTACCGGTTCTTCCTTTTTTGCTAAAAGCTTCCAGGTAATGTTATCAAAAACAATGTGGGAGGTCTTGAAGATCTTCCCCAATTGGCATCAAACTCATTCTTGTAATCTGTTGGGAAAAATAAAACTGAAAAACGGCAACTTTAGTGTGTATATCGAAGACAAATATAACAAAAAAATGTTGGAGTGAGCAAGTGAGAATATAGTATTGAGAAATAACTATAAAGACAGGTGTGGCGGTGCTGTAAAAACCGGACTACAGGTCAGACCGAAATGTAGGTCGACCCCCCCCCCAACTTTGAATTCCGACAATGTTCTGTTTGGCCTTTCATAATACTGTTGCCAGATAAAGGGTCAGTGTTGCCAGACTGCCACCAGATTTGGCAGGTAAATTTGCCCCTGCAGCTGTGCCTTTCTCGTAAGGGCTCTGTGTCGCCCGCGGTGCATTTCGCAAGTGCGTGTGCGAAGTTGATTGATATGTGGGGTTTAACGTCCCAAAACCACTATATGATTATGAGAGACGCCGTAGTGGAGGGCTCCGGAAATTTAGACCACCTGGGGTTCTTTAACGTGCACCCAAATCTGAGTACACGGGCCTACAACATTTCCGCCTCCATCGGAAATGCAGCCGCCGCAGCCGGGATTCGAACCCGCGCCCTGCGGGTCAGCAGCCGAGTACCTTAGCCACTAGACCACCGCAGCGGGGCGCGTGTGCGAAGTTGGCCGTTTCAATTAAAGAAATTAACTTGCAACATGCATTGCAGAAGTTGGGCGCTTTCTCTTGTTGTGTGGGCAGCTGTGCAATTAAGAGGTCAAACTCGATCGTGGCGGCTGCATTTCCGATAGAGGTGGAAATGTTGTAGGCCCATGTGCTCAGATTTGGGCGCACGTTAAAGAACCCCAGGTAGTCGAAATTTCCAAAGCCCTCCACTACAGCGTATCTCATAATCATATGGTGGTTTTAGGATGTTAAATCCCACATATCAATCAATCAATCGGTCATGTCTAAGAAATAGGGAATGAACGTGCAATGGCATGTATGAGTAAACGCTCAAGGAAAACCGAATTTGTGAGCCGCGTTTCAATACATCAGACTCGTGTTGCCCAAGCACGGAATATCTCCATGGCTGCGCGTACCTAGTGGACACAATGATGCGTTTTCTGGGGAACCGAATAGAGTCGCACCAGGCGGTGCGCTTCCTTTAACAGATCATGCTCAATCGTTTCATCAGCGGTGCCCATAAGTCCCATCATGTAGCAATGCTGTTGACAAAGCACAATGACAAAACACTGATACTTGAGCAGCTTGTTATCGAAATTTTTGTACCCTTTTTGGCACACGGAAGTACACCGCCTCAGCACAAAGTCCTTCCATTTCATAAATCGGCGCACCCATAATGGCCCAGAGTCATATCTCGATAGCTTTCACACAGATGCACTCCGTTGTAACTGGTAGCAACCTTGCACGCACGCTCCCGGATTAACTCGGCAAGTAGCATTTCTAGTTCGGGGTGCACTGCAGTCCGTCCATGAAACAAAGTTTTTTTTTTTTTGTTGCTGCAGGATGCGATGCACTGCTTTTGGCTCCTCCAGTATCGGACGCTTTTTTCCTATGCATCGAATTCCTATCGTGCCGCCATACTAGATAACTTTTTTTCTTAAAGCCTGTTGTAAACTGCTGTCAACTACCACTCATTTCTGAAGAAAACAGAAAAAAGAAAACAGCAGACTGACAAAGATAACCGAAGCAAAATGCCCTTGCTAGTACACTGTAAGCCTTGCCTAAGCTAGCGAAACGGCGCCGCTGCTGATGCTCGTGATAGCAATGGAGGTTTTCGACCTTAGCTGCCTAGTGCTGCAAGACTTCCACATTTTTTTCTGCTAATGACTGGTATATAACACGAAACTCGACTTTTCATCGCATTTTTTTTAAAGAGAAATTCTACCTATACTCCGGTTTTACAGTAGTTTTTTCTTCTAAACAGTGATATGCAGTACTTTTATAAATCACGAACTTGCAACTAACTTCCCATAATCACTGGGATGAGTAGTATTGTAATGTAAAGTAATGTAATGTATTGTAATGTAATTAAGTAGTATTGTAATGCAACCAGTAGTATTTATAACATTTATGAATGTGTGGGGAGCAGCAGAGAAAGGGTAACATTACATATTGCGGAGATGAAGAAACAGCGTTCCGGACAACCAATATCAAAAGGGAGGCAGCCATTGAACTATATCAATCCCCAAAAGATGAAGTCAATAAGATGAAGTTTTACGATGATTCAAAATGGTGAGCCGTACTGCTCAAACACAAATATGGATGATGATGATGATATCTGGGGTTTATTGTCCCAAAACCACCATATGATTATGAGAGACGCCGTAGTGGAGGGCTCGGGAAATTTAGACCACCTGGGGTTCTTTAACGTGCGCCCAAATCTGAGCACACGGGCCTAGAACATTTCCGCCTCCATCAGAATGCAGCCGCCACAGCCGGGATTCGATCCTGCGACCTGCGGGTCAGCAGCCGAGTACCTTAGCCACTAGACCACCGCGGCGGGACTCGAACACAAATATGGAGAATAACGAAAAGGTGGGCTAGTTGGTTAGGGTTCATAGTGAATTATATGAGGCAGCGCTAGAACTTCTTTTCTAGTCCTTGTATTTGTTCTAGCGCTGCCCCATATGATTCACTATGAACCAAATATAGAGTTTGTAATTATCCTAATGTGTAGTTATAAGAGAAAATTTACCAATTACAACTATTTGTCTTTAGTGTCGGCAAATGGTGAAAAAAAATTTCCACATGCTTTATTATGCCAAAGCATCAGTACTGATGTGGATAACGACTTAGTTACATTGTTGACGGCTCTGATCATAAAAATGTTTTGTCGTAAAGTGGCAAAAGATTGCCAGAGCTGCAAAGTTAATGCAGAAACCACTGAGCGAAAACAAACTTTAATTTGCGCCAGACACTTGGTGCTGCTTGCCAATTACAAGAGCACCTGTCTTGTTCAGATTCGCACATTATTCCTGTAGTTAACTGCTATCCACCTAATATGGCCAATAGTGCTTTTATTTAACTCAGGTGACTTCAAACAGCAACCTGCACAAACGAATGCGGGACAGCAGTGAGCAGCTTACTATTGCCATGAGAATAAGACCAATAGGAAGACCTTGCCTCCCTTAAGCATTTACTATTGTATATAATAATTCTTGGGGTTTAATCACCCAAAACCATGATACGATTATGAGAGACTCCAACAAGATTTGGAGGAGAGGAGGGGGCTTGTTTAATGGCGGACTGCAATTCAAGATGGCAGCGAAAGAGTCGGCAATAAAGTAAAGGAAGAGGTGTAAATGTAAAAGCTTGTTTTTTTTTTGTTAAGACGCAATATTATTGAGAAGCAACAGATAGTCATGCCAAGGAAAGTATAGGGGATGTTATTAAAGGTAGTTGTAATGTAAATGTGAAGAAAGAAAAGTGGGCGAAGAGATATTTTGCCACTGGCAGGGAATGAACCTGCGACCTTTGAATAACACGTCCGATGCTCTACCACTGAACTATGGTGGCGGTCATCGCCCCGCCGACTTTATAGGGCATATATGTGCATTTGAACCTGGGATTGTACGTCAGTGCTGTCTGTTGCCATTAAGGCGAGTGTGGAACACTCTTTTGCTTATGGGCGTCACATAGCATGTGATCTTATAAGGAGCTGGCAGCTGACCAATTCGCAAGTTCGGTCGCAGGTTCAGTCCCTGCCGGTGGTAAGTCATTTTTTCGTCCCCTTTTGTTTCTTTATATTGCCGCATGAATTCGCGTGGTTTTCGTGTGGAAGAGGACGAAGAGGTTGGGATTGAGCCGCTTTTTAATGCCGCATGAATTCGCGTGGTTTTCGTGTGGAAGAGGACGAAGAGGTTGGGTTGGAGCAGTTTTTCTTTTTGTCCTAGCTTGACGAGCAGTTCTGCGGAAGGTTTCCTTGAGTGAGACAAGATTGGTGACAAGATTGGTGGAGCTGCTGGGTACGACAACTGACGACGCACCCCATGCACAAGAGCCCATCCAGGAGCCGGAACACAAGCCCTGTGCCCGTGGACACGCCAGTTCACAGAACAAGCCGCCGCCAACGAGGCCTACCACCAGAGACACCGGCACAGCTTATCCATAGAGCGACTATGACTTCGCCTCAAGGCGTCATGGAAACTCCTACGTCGTCGGCACCAATTTATTGCACTGTCCAGAACCCGCTGATGCCTAGTCCCTTTCACGGAGAGCTGTTTGAGGATGTGGACGACTGGCTGAGCGAGTTCGAACACGTCGCAGCGATCAACTACTGGGACGAAGCCGCCAAACTCCGCAACGTCTACGCGTGTTTGAAAGACGGCGCCCGAACGTGGTTCATGAACAGAAGTGATGTCTTGACATCCTGGCGCGAGTTCCAGCATCGCCTCTTGGAGACCTACCGGAGCCCCGACCGCCGCGATCGTGCTGAACGTGCATTGCATTCACGCATCCAGATGCCTAATGAGACCGTCACCATGTACGTGGAGGACATGACGCAGCTTTTCAGGCGAGCGGATCCGGCAATGCCAGAAGAAAAAAAGCTACGCTATCTGATGCGAGGCGTGAAGGAGCAGCTTTTTGCTGGTCTAGTGCGGAGTCCTCCGAAGAGTGTAGCAGAATTCCTGACCGAAGCCACTACGATGGAGAGGGTACTTCATCAGCGGTCAGCCCTACTCAACCGGCAAGTGAATT